CCATGAACATCTTTTTCCAGAGCTGCATTTAAGTTAAGGCATGTACCCTCAGTCCTTACTTGGGGTTTCCTGTGGCATGCACTGGTCTTGACCGAGCCTGACACACACATTTGAGTTGGTGACCTGACCTTGAACCTCCCTCATCACTATGAACCTGCCCAGCAATCTGGACCCTCAGCTGAACCCAGCTGCTAGTAAATCTGTCCTCACTGTGTTTGGGTATTGGGGGACTGGGCCCTCCTTTCTGAGGCTCTGCCATCTGCACTGCTGGGTTTGGTTCCCTGTCCCTTCTGGAGCAGGGAGCCCTTTGGTGCTTCCTGACAGTAGCCTTGGGAGTGTTGGGACTCTGCTTGACCCAAAAAAGGGTTGAAGGAAAGGACAGAGGGAAATTTTATTTAAGAAGTTGACCATGTGTGGGATCCATTAGCATTTTATTTCAGATCAGGTATGATGCTGAGGCAATCTGCCAGGTCATCATTGCTGCTGTCTGGTTTTCAGAGCAGCCTCTGAGGGGAGAAACTGAATTCCTTTCAGGAGATGAGCTTCACGTGCTAAGAGGTACACAGTCTGTGAGACCAATATGAAGTTGCTCACTACATGGCTATATCATGTACCTTTTAATATGGGAATGTATACATGACAAGAAAGCATGAATAACAGAAAGCATTTTACATAAATATGAAATTGTTTCACATTACACCAATTGATATGTTATCTGCATATATAAAGTTAGTTTGCAGAAGCCAAAAGTTGCATGTGTATTTCTGATACTAGTAAAACTAGTAAAACTACACAAATAACTGTTTTTGCACAATTATTATTATACCTATTAGGATTCCAGAAGGAAACTTTGGAAGAATCTTATTGCAGAAGTCTTCCCAGATTTTCTACCATGTTAGAAAACTTAATATGCAACCTCAAGTAAAGGACTGCAAGTAGAAAGGAGCTTAGTAGTACTCTGTGGTGTGTGTAAACAGGGCTGAATGGAAACTCTAATGTTCTTAACAGACACCTTAACAAATCATCATTTTTCAGTGGCACTTCTTTGTAACTTTATTAGCAGCTGCAGAAGACTGGAGACATTCTGTGCTAAGCAACATTTACTGAAAGGCAAAATCCTTAACCAACTTTGGCATGTAAAATATGAATAAATGCTTGAATTTCAGCTGCAAGGAATTAACTCCGTTATTGTCTAGAGGCTTTCTGAATAACACCTTGGTTTCAGGACTTGGATGAAGAGGATTTGACAGACAGACCACTCAGTGGTTAAGTAATTGGCTGGATGGCTGCACCCAGAGAGTTGTGGTCAGTGGTTCAGTGTCCAGATGGAGGCAGATGATGAGTAGTTTTCCTCAGGGATCAGAACTGGGACCAGTGCACTTCAGGAAGAAATTGTTCACCATGAGGGTAGTAAGGTGGTATAGGTTGCCCAAGGAGGTTGTAGATGCCTCCTTCCTGGAGGTGTTCAAGGCCAGGTTGGATGAGGTTTTGTGCAATCTGGTCTAATGGTAGGGTTCCCTGCTCATGGCAGCTGGGTTGAAACCTGATGATCTTTAAGGTCCTTTCCTACCTTAACCATTCTATGATTCTACAATTTTATGATTTCAGCATCTTCATTTACTGTTCTAAAAAGGTATAAGGAGAATTCTAGATCTGTTGAACTATGCTTCCCATTTGTATTTATCTGTTTAGTGATTCATGGTTATCATGCACATGCAATATTTAAACTACTATTTCATTTGGAGATTTTCCAATCTGTTAATTATATTTTGTTTCAAGTCTTTTAAAGTAATGTTTTGAGTATATAATTACTTTTCTAACAAAGCAAGAAAGATATTTTGCTACTAATCACAAAGAAATCTAAGGAAGTGAGTATACAAAATAATAATCCAGTCCATGTAATTATTTATGAGTAACACATGCAACAAGCAAATAAGCACAAAAGTAGTAAATTAGCCCAAAAAGTCACACTGTAGGTTTGTGGGTTTTTTTAAGTCTTGAGAAATTATACTGGGGACATTAATACATTTTCAGGACCTGGTATAACTTTCTAGATTCACAGAAAAAAATAGTATTATCTTACAAGCCAGTTAAGAAGCAAGAGCCTAATTCAGCTGCTATGAAATAAAATGCAAAAAATTACTATTAGGAAATTGAATTGTGCCCTCAAGAATTAGTATAGAAACATAATGACATTACTTCAGAAAGTGTCTCGCAGCTGTTTTCAATATCTGTCAGAATTTTTTATGATATTGCAAACAGCTGCTCTTCTAGTACACAGAATGTCTGCCATCTGTCTATCAAATTATTTCATTTCAGCATAAACAAGGAACAGTTTGGTCTCAAAAACAGGACATAGACAGCAGTCAACAGAAGAGGATTCAAGGAACCTATTATCTGTAAAGAAGGATTCATTACTTCTGGCTCATCTGCTTGTAAATTTCTTTCTTGCAGTAACTGTGTTTTGTTTTTGCTATTGCAATGACCTGTTCTCCATTGCAATTTGCAGCTGAAGATTGTTGCGACCGTGGGTCACAAGGTGGTGTTTTTGGCTGAGGTGTGAGGACATCATCTGTCTAATTGTGACTGAAAGGCAGTTACTTGCTAAGGCATCATCCAAGGACAGTGCTGACTAAGGAAAGAGCTTATTTGCTCGAAGTGCTCTGTACTGTTTGAGTGCCTTGAGCCCATCGCCCCATTGATATCTAAGTTAAAATGGCTCTATAATTTTTCCTGCTAGTGCTGTTCTACAGGGCCGAGCTCTAAAAGTTTCCCTGTTAGCAGCATGGAAAGATGGCCAGTCTAGTATTTAAATGTATCATTGCCAATGATATAGTTTCTAAAACAGTAATTAGCCATGGCAATGATTGGGAAGCTAGCACAGTGTTAGGTTTATGAGCTAGCTGCCACCACTCAGAAAATAAATTCTAGAATTGTAATAGGCTTATGAAAAAGTAATGTTATGAAGAACTTCATAGAGATGTCAACTCAGTGCACAGTAGCAGTGAAGAAGCAAATAAAACGTTAGGAATAATTAGGGAAGGAATAGAAAATAGATCAGAGAGCATCATTATGGTACTATTTAAATCTGAGTAGCACCTGCAAACAATGCCAGTGGATTGGTTCTTCTGTCTCAAGAAAATTACAGTAGAACTGGAAAAAAGAAAAGAGAGTGACACAATGAATGATCAAAGACAAAAAATAACAAAACAAGTCTCCAAGGCCTAGACTGGGAAGGGGAAAGAAAGATGTTATGTGAGCTCCATAAAATAATGATGGGCAAAAGAGGAGGTGAGTTCAGTTTTACTCAGTCTAGACACTGCATGGACAGTCATCTCATCTGGCAACCACCATCTCAGTGCTTGACTGGAGACCCTGAACATGAATCCCAATGGACAGTCACTTAAAGTGTAGAAAACCAACATGCCAGAAAAGGGAAAAAAGGACAATTAAAAAGTTGGTTAGTACTGGGAGCCTAAACTGATTGCAGACTCTATTCCTAAGGCACTGTATAAACAATTTACTCCTTCTTCCAGTTTGGACCTCGGCAAAAATTAATCTCATCAGTTTTAACACCTTTTATCTTTATCAGTATAATATATTTCTGGGAAGGATCATCTCCAACTATAATTTAAAGCATAGCATAAGAGGTGTATGTTATTTGATATGATTTCCTTCCACTTTTTAGCATTTCAATATGTACCCGTCTCTAATGAAAACAAATTTAATACTTAAAATTTTTTATCATCAGATACAATGGGAAGAATTCTATTTAAAACTTAAAAACTAAATTCAACAAATCACTTCAAATAATTCATGTGCATTTGCCAGTATATGACTCATGGTTTCACATTGAATCATTTAAATTATTATGACAGTCAGCTGTGTAGCTACACTGAAGCAGAGAGGAGGATTTAATAATAAGTGTAAAAGAAATATTTTTATGCCATTACTAGTGGAAGAAGAGAGTGACGACAATCACAGCTGTTACTTCTACTCTAAAAAAACCACACCAAACAACAAAGAAACAGGGCAAAAAAAAAGTATTTTAAATTAATTTATTTTAACTAGCTTCACTAAGGGAGAATTATAGGGACAATTACAGTGGAGGATGAGAAAGGAATATCTAGCCTTATGTTCTTAGACACAATAAAAATGGGAAGATCTGAAGATCCAAATACCTTCCTCTATCAAAATAAGAGGTTGTACACCTTTAAAAAGTATAAGAACTTAAACCTTACAATGATTTTACATAATTAACACTCCAAATAAGTGACAAAATGTAGTATTAACAGTAAATAATAATTCCATATTTAAATGCATGAATGGCAGGTGCATAACTACATTATGATTTAGAAATACAGATTTAAAAATCAACACATAGGCATTTAAATTAAAACCTTAGAATGTAGAATCCAAAAATAAGTCCTAAGTTTTATTAAATATTCCCATTTGGAAACTGACCCTTATGTGCAACTTTAAATTTTGTCATATTTCACCAATTTCTAATTTTCTTTGGTTCCTTGTAAGGATCATGTTCAACAACTTCATTCTGCTAGCACAGTGGGGTGCTAGAAATAAAGACAGGGTTTGCCTTTTCAGAAGATAGTGTGGTCCCACAGACTGGCCCATGACTACGGAGCACACAACCATAGGAAGTATGGACTGTCACAGTTCTCACCAATGGCTACCAACTCTTCAAAAGGACTAGACAAGGAAGAAGAGAGACAGATGAATGCCTAAAAATTAATGAAAGTGATGACAGGGCTGAGTCCCTATGGATAAGAATAAAGGGGAAGCCCAACAAGGATGGTAGAGTGGTTGGAGACTGTTACAGACCACCCAACCAGGATGAGGAGATGGATGAAATATGCTATAAGCAGTTTGCAGAGGTTTCAAAGGCGCCACCCCTTATTCTAATGGAAGACTTCAACTTCTCAGACGTCTGCTGGAAATACAACACAGCAGAGAGAGAACAGTCCCAGAGGTTCCTGGAGTGCATGAAAGACAACTTCCTAACCCAGCTGGTGAAGGAGCCAAACTGGGAGAGTGCCCTTCTGGACTTGCTGCTCATGAACAGAGAAGGATGTGTGGAGGAGGTAACAGTTGGAGAAAGTCAGGAGCATAGTGACGATGAACTTACAGAATTTTCAGTTCTTGGAGAAGTAAGGAAGGGTGTCAGTAAAACTGCCACCTTGGACTTCTGGAGGGCAGACTCTGATCTGTTCAGATGCTTAATGCATTATTTGAAGGCACTGAGGTTTAAGTGGTAAGAAGAGCAGAAGTGGATGAAGTCTGTATTAGCAGACTATGACATATACATATATATATAAAAGTAGTAGAGATGTTGCTGTCCCACTAACACCTTCTCATAAAGAATTTATGCAAAATTACTATTCTATGCTTACGCAGTGAAAAGCTCTGTCTGTCGGTTTCTATTTCCTTAGGGTTTCTGTTGGTTTGTTGGTTTGTTTGGTTGGTTTTGTGAGCTATTTCACTAATAGGATTTGCTTGACTGAATTAAGTTCTGGACATCTGTTACACAAACAATTAGATATTCCCCTCAGTTCTAAGGTTTAATTCTCTGGACCATAATTTGGCCATTATTGTAGTATGTTTTCATCCTCAAGTTGTGAAATGCTGGCTTGTTAAGTGCTATTTCAGCAAGTGTTTGTAGATTTCTTCACTGTTTATTAATGGTCTGTTACGAATAGTACTGTCATGCATCAAACTTTCCAAACACAGAAGGCAGACTAGGTTTTCCATCTGGAAAATCTGGCAAGAAAGTCAACAAATCTACCTGGATTTGTGCAAAGGTTTGACACTGTCCCACACAGCAAACTTGTCTCTCAGTTGGAGAGACATGGACTCGATGGATGGACCAGTTGATGGATAAGGAATTTGCTGGACGGTTGCACTCACAGAGTTGTGGTCAATGGCATGATGTACAAATGGAGATCAGTGACAGCAGCATTCCTGTCCGAGTGGAGAGTGACCGCAAAATGGCGGAATTCAGGATTCTTAGGGCAAAAAGGAGGGTACAAAGCAAACTCACCACCCTGAATTTTGGAAGAGCAGACTTTCACATCTTCAGCAGACTTTGAGTGCTCAGTAAAGTACCAGGCAATACAGCTACAAAAGGGAGAGGAGCCCAAGAAAGCTGATTAGTAATCAAGAATCACCTCCTCCAGCCCCTGGAAGTAATGTATCCCAACAA